AAAAAAAAAAAAAAAGAATAAAGACAATCTACAGGCTTGGGTTAAAAATCTTTACAACCTATCAAAATAACCAATAAGGGCCTAATATTTAAAATCAACAGAAAACATCTACAAGTTAATTAACAAAAAGACAAGTAACACAATAAAAATCTGGACAAAGGACATGGACAGATAATTGACTAAAGAGAATATTCAAATGTCTAACAAATACATGAAATGTGCTTGTGTCATCAGCCTTCAGAGAAAAGCAAATCAAAACCACAATGTGCTACTATTTCACTCCCACTGGGATGGGTAAAATGAACACAGCCCCCCAAAAATACAGGAACCACAAACCAGAAATTAGTAAATGTTGGAGTGGGTGCGGAAAAATAGGAACCCTTATCCACTGCTGGTGAGAATACAAAATGGTACAGCCATTGTGGAAAACAGTCTAGTGGTTTCTCAAAAAACTAGAGGTAGAGCTGCCACATGACCCAAAAATTACATTTCTAAGTATATACTCTATGGATCTAACAGAAATTATATGAGCAGACATATGCACACCTATGCTCATTGGAGTCCTGGTGGGAATTGCAAAGTCAGTTTGAACTGTAAGGCTGGCAGTTCAAACCCACCAACCGCTCCTTGTAAACCCTATACAGGGTCACTATGAGGCTGAACCAACTCGACAGCATGTAACAACAACAACAGTTGTCAGACTGGTACTTTATAAAAGTCAAGAAGACAAAGTAAAGTATTATGAAATGTGTGAAGACCTGGAGTTAGAAAACCAAAGGGGAAGAATATGTTCATTTCTCAAGTTGAAAGAAATGAGGAAAAAATGTATGCCTCAGGTTGCAATATTAAAGGAATGTTGAGTGTGTTCTTCCCTTTTGTTTTTCTAACTCCAGGTGTTTGCACATTTCATTATAATACTTAATTTTGTTTTCATTTGAAATTTCTGTTCAGCTCTTTTACTTCCTCATTTCTTCTGTTTGCTTTAGCTTCTCTATGCTCAAGAAGTAAGTTTCACAGTCTCTTCTGACATCCATTTTGATCTTTTCTTTTTCTCCTGTCTTTTTAAATGACCTTTTGCTTTTTTCATGTATGATGTCTTTGATGTCATCTCCCAATTCTGATCTTTGGTCATTAGTGTCTAATGAATCAAATCTGTTCTGGAGATAGTCTCTAAATTCAGGTGGGATATATTCAAGGTCATATTTTGGTTATTGAGGACTCTTATTAGTCTTCATCTATTAAGAAAACAAGGTCACTGTTTAATTCTAGAAGACCCCTGTGCAGTGGTATACTAGTAAATGTTTAACAATCAAGTCAGGGTGTGGTTGTGGTGTGGAAGAGGGAAGCTCTGATTTGTAGCATTTGTCAGTTTACATGGTATAAATACCCACATCACGACCAACTTCTATTAGTATGATATCAATGAACTGGAGTTGGGAAGGAATGCACAAAATCAGCTTGTGTGAAGCCTCCATCACTTCACTGCCTCTAAGGATCCTTAACCCAGCTACAAAGTTTGATTAATACATTGTTTATCTTTATAATACCTAGAACAAATCATTCACTAACTTAAAAATAACTGTATTTTTGAAATTTTATTTCTTCAGTTAATTCATTCATGAGAAGTAATAAAATACTGTAGCAGAATTTGCAGGCTATGAAACAGGTCCTAGTCATTTTAGGTGGGGAGGGGGATTTCATGGTTTTGTGTAGAAAGTTAAGCACATTCTCCTTTATAACTTTCAACATTGTCTTTTACCAGCTATAGATCAGGATAGGTTGTAGCTAATTAACACATATGGATCTCCTTCCATCAGTACTCTTCTTACTAATTCTAACAAAGTCTGATTCAGGACTGTGTAAAGAAATTATTTTAGAAATTGTTATTATTGTTGTTAAGTGCTGTTCAGCCAGTTCCAACTCACTCATTGGTGTTGTTGTTAAGTGCCATCAAGTTGGTTTCGACTCATAGTGACCCGGTATAGGGTTTCCAAGGAGTGGCTGGTGAATTTGAACTGCTGACCTTGTGGTTCAAATCGACCTTGCAGTCTAGTGCTTTATCCTACAGTGCCACATTACGACTCCCTTTTGGAAATGAAAGGACTAAATAATGGACTAAAATTCATTTCTGGGATGAGAGAGGATCTAATAAGCAAAGGATGGCCATGTTAAGCCTACTATAATGTAATGGATCAAAAACAGAAAAATTGAAGGCAGTAGGAGATAACCTTTTATAGGGTGCCAGTAATAAGACTATCAGGCATCCTGGTGTGGCACTGCAGGATAAGTACTGAACCACAAAGTCAGTTTGAACCATAAGGTCAGCAGGTCAGACCCCCCAACCACTCCTTGGAAACCCCATACAGGGTCTGTATGAATCTGAACTGATTTGACAGCACTTAACAACAACAACAGTGGTGAGACTGGGGCCTTATAAAAGTCAAGAAGACAAAGTATTATAGTGAAATGTGTGAAGACCTGGAGTTAGAAAACCAATGGGGAAGAGTATAATCAGTATTTCTCAAGGTGAAAGAGCTGAGAGAAAAATAAGTGAGCCTCAGGTTACAATATTAAAGGATTTTATTGAATGATACATGAATCAAAATAAGATGGAAGGTATACACAGAGTAACTGTACCAAAAAGAAATAGCTGATGTTCAATCATTTCAAGAGGCACTATATGATCAAGAACTGATGGTACTGACAGAAGAAATATGTTGGAAGAAATACAGCCAGAATGTTCCTTAGAAGCCTTGGTGGTAAGACTTTGACTCTCATACTTCAGACCTATTGTCAGAAGGGACCAGTCTCTGGAGAAGGACATCATGTTTGGTAAAATGGAGGGTCAGTGAAAAAAACGAAGACCCTCCCCCCAACAAGATGGATTGGCATAGCAATGGGCTCAAGAATAACAACTGTGAGGTTGGCCCAGGACCGGGTAGTGTTTCGCTCTGTTGTACATAGGGTCACTAGACGTCAGAACCAACTTGACAGCACCTAAAAGCAACAATAACAACAACAATACTTGTAATAATAAAAATCTGGACACTATCAAATGTCCATCAACAAGGAACGTATAAATTGTATATATCCAAACAATGAAATATCACTTCACATGATAAAAGCATGAACTTTTGAAATAAGTATCTATGAATTCCAAAACAAGAGAGTTTAGTGGAAAAAGTTAGACAAAGGAGTACATACTATATGATGTCATTTATATAAAATTCTAAATATGAAAAATAGTCTCTGGTGTTAGAAAGTAGATCAGATATTGCCTGGTACAGCATGAGACTGGAAGGATGGATTGCCAAGGGGTATAAGGAAAATTTGAAGGTTGAATATTCCCATTATCTTGATTGTAGTGATCATTATGAGTGTGCACATATTTTAAAATATCAAATTGGACACTTTAAATATGTGCAGTGCATTGTAAAGAACAATACAAATTCAAAAACAAGTAACAAACAAAACAGAACAAAATTTAGGGGAAGACAGAGTTATTACCTTCATATTATCCAGCTCTTGAACTTCATGTCTAGGAATTTTTTCTAAGCGAGCTGCTTTACTCAGAGCCATTGCTGTTACCATCCCTTTGCAACAACTGAAGGGAAAACACACACACATAGCATGACCAATTTGTTGTTGGTCTCTCCTAAGTGTTTCAAATCCAGATTTAGTGGAAATAACATAACACTTCATCTACTGCCTTACCAAAAAGAATAATTTTTCTCTTTCCCAATTTCTCACCCTTGCCCTCTTCCTCCCCCCACCCCCCATTCCTCTTTCTTGGCCACAGATAACACTGATTTGATATATATTTTTAAAAAATTGTTTCAATTGGTGTAAAATTCAAAGCGGCAATTCCCTTCCCTAGTTAAGAAATTACAACTTTTTAGACCCTATTATTATTTGACAAGAATCTAGCTTTTCATGTATAAGGGTTTGACTTTGTCTTATTAAAGAGATGTTTGGGCTGTATTTAGTGAGGGACCTAAAACATATATATATATTCAACTTTGCATGGAATTACACAGGAAAATATGTTTCTTTTTTTATATATAAGTTTCTTAATAAATGTTATGCAGTATATGCAAAGGAGTCCTGGCATGGCACTGTTGTATAAGCACTCAACTGCAAGGTTGGTTTGATCCGTAAGGTCGGCAGTTCAAACTAACCAGCCACTCCTTGGAAACCCTAAACAGGGTCACTATGGGTCATAACTGACTCAATGGCACTTAACAACAACAAGAAGCATGTGCAATGGAGAGTATAACAGCTGAGGACTCTAGACTCATGCAAAGAGAAAGGCTGGGTACTGACACACAGAGGTTGGCTTGCAAAATGCATCCTTTGGTTGTTTAAACAGTTGTATATTCCTGCGTGTTTTTGTGTACATTACGGGAGAAAGGGGAGGGAATGGAGGCAAATACTGTTGGCCAATGGTGCACGGAGGGGATTGTAATCATTGCAATGAAGCAAAGTACAATTAGTTGAGTGTAAAACCAATTGTTTGCAATTGTAAACTATCACCTAATTAATAATAAAAGCTCTCTATTAAAAAAGAAGTATATGCAAGATGTCTTGGTATGGCACTGTAGGATAAACACTGAACTGCGAACCCCAAAGTCCACAGTTCAGAGGCAACTCGATGGCATTTAACAAGTATGTACAAAATGAAAATTATATATACAAGTCTTTTTTGTGTTTTACTAATTCTTACCCTCCGCACAGCAACACTTCCATCCTACCTATGCTAACATTATTTTCAAAATAATTCTGACAAATTGTCACATTTCAAATGGGTACAGCACTGAAGCTAGTTTAATAATCAGACTAATATTTATTTAAGGGTTTTTTTTTCAGCAAGCCTTTAGCGTAGCTTTTCCAATGCCTTTCTCTTCTCTGCTTTATGTCACATTTAATCTTCAGAAGGGAAACAATAAGTAACTAGATCATTTTACCTGCTCAAATAGCTGGAGTACTGAGCCAACTTTTTTGTCAATCCAACTGCATCTAGCTCTAACTTTGCGATTCCTATATCTTGTGTCTCATCACTTTCTTCTGTGGCCACTGGGAAACTGTCTTTATCAGTACAGTTAGGTACCATTAAAATGAGCAAATTTACCATCCATTGAACCATAGCTATATGCAATTCATCCATCTGTTTAAAAAAGTAATACAAATGATTTTTTTTAACAAATCAAACAGTAAAAACTATACCAAATTTAGAAACAGAAATGATCATGCCTGTGTCTAACTTTCAACAACATTACTTGACACTAGAGGATAAGCACTGGACTGCTAGCCATAAAGTCAGCAGTTCAAACCCACCAGCCACCCTGGAAACCCTATACAGGGCTATTATGAGTCAGAACCAACCTAATGACACTTAACAATAACAACAGTTCTTAAAGGAGCCCTAGTGGCACGGTAGGTTTTCTGCTGAGCTGCTAATCACAATGTCAGCAGTTCAAGCCCATCAGCTGCTGCCAGGGAAAAAGATAAGACTGTCTACTCCCATAAATATTTAGTGTTGGAAACCCTAAAAAGCAGTTCTCCTCTGGCCTATAGGGTCACTCTGAGTGGGAATCAACTCAATGGCAGTGAGTTATAGTTCTTAATGAAATTAAATCATCATTACCCAGCTAGTATAACAATATAATCTCCATTATATTGTTTGCATATATGTATCCTATGTGAAGTCTTTTTAAGGTACAGGCCATATTTTATCCCTCCATATCACATTTTCCTTCCTCACTATACTACCTTAAATTACTCTTATCCTCTTCTTCAGATTGATCAAGGGTATTAAACCATTAAAGCCTCAATCCCCCAATCATGTACTAAAGTATCCCAGAGTGCCACAGTGAACTCACATATATGCCATGGATTTCAAATTCTCAAGGAAACTACAATGAATACTCAGCCTCTGTTAGGCTCGTCTTGAACCTGACAGCTCAGTCCACATGTGATGCACTACATCACTTTGATAATTTGGCTTTATTGGTAGTTGCCATGCTAAAACCAAGTACTGTGTGAAAGTCAGTGTGGAACAGGAAATGAGGCTGGTGGTGTCTAAACTGATTCCAAGGTTTAAGTAGTTGTACAGTGCCCAACAAACCAACACATTTCATTAGTAAGTAATTTTGAGTATATGACAATAAAAGAGGTTTTTCTTTACAGTTTTACTTTTCCAAACAGTTTTTACTATGTTGTTGTTTCTGTTGTTGTTAAGTGTCTTCAAGTTGACTCTGACTCATAGCAGCCCTGTATAGGGTTTCCGAGGAGTGGCTGGTGAGTTTGAACTGCCAACCTTGCAGCTCAAACCAACCTTAAGGTCGAGTGCTTATTCTATAATGCCACACTATGTTGTTAAGACAAGAATATTTATTAAGTTGTTTGAACTTACTACTTAAACCAAGCTGTATTTCTTTTGGCTCTGGAGTGCCATGGAGACACTGAGACATGAAGGACACTATGAATTGAGAAAGTTTCAGAACCTCTACATTACACTGTTTGCTGAGGATTAATCCAGGAAATGCGGTAAAATTTACAAAATGCAAACACAGACACACCACACTCTTTGAATGCCCTACTCCCTTCCTCTGGTGAGTTCTTAAGTATTCTTCTAAGTTTAAATATGATCTACTGTGAAGGCACTTTTTAACTTCCATGGGCATTAACTTACTAGGCCCTATATTCCTAAAGTATTTTGTATATATCTCCATTATATTGTTTGCATATATGTATCCCATGTGAAGTCTTTTTAAGGTACAGCCCATATTTTATCCCTCCATATCATAAATATTACTTAACAGAGAGTAAAATTTAGTAAATATTTGTTGAATGAACAAATAGAAATCAAAGTTTGTTACCCAACTGGTACTAAAATCCAAACTTCCTGTATCTTAATTCAGAAAGAAAAGTTGTTAATGACCTAATGTAATGTCGATTGGTGCACTTTATTCCTGAATTAACACATCAGGAAAAAAAGCAACCCTTCCTGAGGTTTAAAAAGACTGCTATCCTCTGTCACAAGTCAAAGAGATTTGTCCCACCTATTTCACTTGCCATGTCCCAACTGCTTCTCAAAGTAAATCAATTCCTAATGGTTCTTTCATGTACCAATGACTTCAATTACACTGTCATTGAAATAACTCACTTTTGCTTATACATAGTATTAATCAATCTTTAGAACATCTTTATACAATAAATAAATGCTATCTTCATTTTAAAGCTATAGAAAGAGACCAAATGGTGTAATCCAAGTCATGCAATAAATCACTGTTGTTAGCTGCTGCTTGGAAGTTTTCAAGTCACGGCAACCTTGTGTCTAACAGAAGGAAACACTGCCCAATCCTGTACCATCTTCATGAACGTTGACAAGTTTGAGTTCATTGTTGTGGCTAGTGTGCCATCTCAGCGAGGGCATCTCTCATTTTTGCTAACCCTCTAACTTGCCAAACATATCCTTTTTGGTGATTGGTTGTTCCTAATGGCAAGCTCAGAGTAAGCAAGCTGAAGTCTCTCTACCTTCACTTCTAAAAACAGTCTGTTTATTTTTCTTCTAAGACTGATTTGTTCGTTTTTCTGGCAGGCTATGGTGTATTCAACATTCTCTGCTTACATCACAATTCAAATGCGCCAATATTTCTGTCCTTTTTCTTTGTCTAGCTTTTGTATACATAAGAAGCAAGTGAAAAGACCATGACTTGGGTCAGGCATATCTTAATTGTCAAAGTAACATTTTCTTTTTTAAACTTTGAAGAGGTCTTTTACAGCAGATTTGCTCAATGCTGTATGTCATTTGATTTCTAGACTGCTGCTTCCACGGACATTGGTTATCGGTACAAGCAGAAAAGAATCCTAGACAACTTCAATTTCTTCTTCAATTATTGTGATACTATTTTTTGGTGCAAGTGTAACTTTTTTTTTTTTCACATTCACGTGTAATCCACACTAAAGGCTGAAATCATCAGTGCTCACCTCTGTGAGTAACTGCTTCAACTTTAGTTTTGGCAAGCGAGACAGTTATATTGTAAATTATTAATGAGTCTTTCTCTAATCCTAAAGCTATATTCTCTTCATATAGTCCAGCTTCACATGTAGATTGAACATGTAAAATGAAAAGGTTCAACTCTGCCACTCATCTTTCCAATTGAACCATGCAGTATCCCCTTATTCTGTCTGAATGACTGCCTCTACAAATTCCACAGAAGCAAAATTAAGTGCTCTGAAATTCCTATTTTTCATGTTATTCATAATTGGTTATGATCTATATAATAATGCCTTTGCATAGTCAATAAAACACAGGTAAGCATCTTTCAGGTTTGGGCTAGCATCCACAGAATAGCTATAGTGAGTGGAAGAAATGACAAAGTAAAAGAATTAAGCAGAAGACTTCAAAGGACAGCTCTAGAAGATAACACAAAATATTATAATGAAATGTGCAAAGACCTGGAGTTAGAAAGCCAAAAGGGAAAAACATGATAAGCATTTCTCAAGCTGAAAGAACAAAAAAATCACAGATGAAAAAAAAAAAAATTAGATAAAACCAGGGAGAGGGACAATGATAAAAGAAAGAGTCTACAGAGTAGTAAAGATCACGAGAGAAAAACAGAAAGGAAGAAGTTGGAAAAGAGAACTAGAAGGAAGAAAAAAATGAAAACAGAGGCAGAAAAGATAAAAAGGAAAAAGGGAAGAAGAGAAAGGCAGGAGAAGAGAGAATAAACAGAAAAACAACAAAAGGAGGAAAAAACAAACAAACTGCAGTTGCTGGACACAGGGAGAAGAAAACTTGGTAGGAAGGGGTAGGGTGGTGTTCCTGTTAACCAAGGAATTCATGAGGTGGTTTAAGGAGGAAAGAGATGATAGAGGAATTTCCAGCCCTAATTTTTGCCTTAAAGTCTACTTTTTCAGAGATTAATATTGCCACTGCTGCTCTATGATTGCCATTTGCTTGATAATTTTTTTCTATGCTTTGATTTTTAGTCTATATTTGTCTTTGTAAGGTGTGTCCCTTGTAGACAATATATTGAAGTATCCTGTTTTCTTATCCATTCTGCTCTCTGCCTCGTGACTAGCGTATTTAATCCATTTACACTCAGTGTAATTACTGATATGGTTTCTTCATTCCATGTAATTTTCCACGCTGAGTTCATTCTATTTGTGAACTTTCTTTTTTCATCGCTGTTGTTGTTATACAGTATATCTTTAGATTTTTCCTCTTTTTCATTTTGATGTGAAGGTGTATTCATTTTCTTTGAGGTTACCCTGTAATTTATTAATTTCTTCCTCAGTTTAAAACAGTCTGTTTTATCTCAAAATTTACTTTACTTCCTTGTCTCTTGAAAGTTCTGTATCTATGCTATGTTCTCTTTTTGCTTTGTACTTTTTTCATTATAATTTGATATCTCTGGACCTCTATTTTCAGTCTTTAAACACTTCTGTATCTGAATTGAGCTCTGGGTAGTGCTGTCAGGTATGTTCTTGTCAGATTGTTGTCTGCTGTTGTTGGTTCTCAGTTAAAAGAACAGTCTTCAGTATATTTTGCAAAGTTGGTTTTATTAAATATAACCTTTCATTTCTGTTTACCTACAAATGTTCTTCTTTCACTGTCATATTTGAAGGACAGTTTTGCTGGATATATCATTCTTGGTTGACAATATTTTTCTTTCAGAGTTCTGTATATATAGTTCTATTGTCTTCTGCAGAGAAATCAGAGCTTGATTTGATTATGTTTTGGTGATTTGGGGGGAGAAGGGGGGTTCTATCTTGTTTAGTATTCTTTTGTCTTCCTAAATGCAAATTGATCATTTTTCATGATGTTAGAGAAAGTTTTCTTCCAACAGCTTTTCAACATTTTTTCTCTGTGGCTCTTATTGTCTTTCCCTGTTCTGGAATTCTAATCACTCATAAGTTATTCCTCTTCATGGTATCCAACATAAATCTGGCTTTCTTTTTATTTTTTTCATTCTTTTCTATGATTTTTCTTCTAGTTTACTAGTATTTGGGCTTCCATTGATTCACATCTACTCCTTTTCCATTTCAATGCATTGTCCATTATGAAAGCTTAGAATTAATCTTCTGAATCTCTTTTAACAGATTTTGTATTGTTTCAAATTTTTCATTTATTTTGAGTTTGTTCTTGTAGTGTTTTCC